AACTAGTGTTGAAGATGATGGTGTGATAAATTGCTTGTTAATTATGCCAGTTCATGTACTTTTGACATAAAAAATCATGACTTCAAAGCCTTGTTTCTTTGAAGCATTGATGTTCATAAATAAGTCACAATTTGAATCATGGTGTGCTAGAAAATTTTCAACAGTGAAGTGCTTTTAAATTTTTGCAAAAGAATTCAGTTCTTGCTGTAATGAATTGTTCATGTAAGTTCTGTTAGCATAGTTTAGCTGTTTCTTGTCTTTAGATGATGCTTTTGTATTGAGTTTTGTTTTCCTGATTTGGAGTGGTTTGCTGAGTTGTGCATAGTAAGAAATGTATTGGTGTAGCCATCCTATTAAACCAAGATACATTTCCAGTTGATGTAAAGTTATTGAGAATTTTAATTGAGCAATTGCTTCAAGTTTTTCTTTTGCTGTAAATATGTCTAGGTCAGTAATCTGTTGTTCTAGGATGTTGATTGATGGAAATCCAATGAAGACTTTCTTTGAATTCAGAAAAATGTTCAGAAAGTCAAGATGATTAAGAATGATGTGAAGATGCTGAATATGCTTCTCTAGTGTTTTGGAGAAAATGACTATGTCATCTATATATATACAGACAAATTTTTTCCAGTGTCAGAATTCATAATCCATTTGACATTGAATATAAGAGACACTATTAATGTATCTCATGACTGCAACATTAAAAACTTTTTGGTCTCTGTGTGTTACCACTGTTAGTTTATCTCAGTCATCAGAATGTACTTGCCATTGATAAAAAAAGAATATGGCATCTAAAACTGTAATGTAGAAACAGCCAACTATGGCTGCTATTATATTCTCTTGTTAATGTAGTGAATAGATATCTGGAACTGAACAGACATTTAATAAGTGAATGTCAACCACTGGACAGCCTTTGACTATTTGCTGCCCATTTTCCATGACCCATTAGTATGCTATAAAGACTGGATAAGTGTACTTTACATGATGTAGACTGTGCATCATACAGTCTTTGCAGTGAAGTTTGTCAAATGTCTTGTCAATTATGACTTCTTCTTGTTTGAAAAGAGAATACTTTCTTACAGATTCTTGTGATTTAGCAGTGTCTTTAATTGAGATTCTCATTCATCAGTGTTGTGAAATGTTCACAAATGTCTCTTTGTCTTTTCATATGTTGTAGTGAGCCATGACTGTGTCAGTCAGCTTTTGGGTGTCTGATGATTTGCTGAATATGATGACTCCATTTGGTAGCTTGGTTTTCTCTAGTACTGGTGTGATTAATTTTATTATTGGTGGTTGTTGTGCTTATATGTGAGCTAAAGTTTTCAGCATTGAGATGTCAACATGATATGCAAAGTCTTTCTGAGCTTTCTCTAGATATCCAATGCAGACACAACATTTAATAGTGTAGAGAGTATTGATATTGTTTTTTAAAATAGTAAATGAGAGATTAGTCTGCATTACTTGATTATAGCATATTAAAGTAGAGTATTGGGGGTGAAAAATATAGTTTCTATCTGTTGATAGTGGTTGTTGGTTCTGAGTTCTAATTGATAGTTCAATTCAAGAATGTGGTGAAATGTTCATGATCAAGATGACATATAATGTTTGTTTTGATTGATGATTAGATTTTGAAGTGACAGTCAGCTGTGTGTGAATGTTATCTGCTCTTGCAAATATTGCATGCTATTGAAGAAAATCAAGAATAATGTCTTCTGATGCCAGATTGTTGACTCTAATGAGTATGTTAACTGACAGAGTGTTGACAACTTGAGCCATTATCATGATGTGAATGATGATTTTATCATCTTTTGAGTTGAAATCTGAAAAGTGTAGTGAAAAGCATGCTGAGGCATGAAATATCAATCTCTCACCAATTTCACTAACAGACAATGGTGTTAAATCTTGAATAGTTATCATTGGGTTCTGTTCCTGAAGAAATTTATGATTAACTAATGTAGAGCTGCACTCTGAGTCAAGACAACAGACTGTTAGTTTGAAAGAGTTCTTAATATAATTTTGCACTGTTGCATGTTTTCAGTGATGGAAGTTCTGTTGCATGTCTGAGATGAGATCAATGTGTTGTGATGCCACTATATTATGTTCAGAACTAGTGAGGTAGACTGATAATTCACATGTATTTAGATGTTTAAAGAGCTGATTTTGTGAAGAAAAGACTTCTTCACAATGATAGCAGATAGTGTGAGAATCAGCATTGATCTGATTTATTTCAGATTCTGAAAATATGTTGTCTTCAGAAATAATTAAGTTTTCTTCTGATTCATATAAATAATCCTCATCAACATTTATTGGGTCTGAATCTGTTATATATGCTTGTTGTGATCCTACTATATTATGGGATGGAGATGGTGGACTTTGTTCAGTTGATTTGGGCTGAAATTTTTGAAGCTGGTCATTTGGTCTTGTTCTCCATTGTTGATTATTTTGCATGTGGCTGAACTGTTCATAGAATTGACTAGTTGCATATGGGTGTCTTGTATTTGGTGCCTGAAATGTGACAGCTTTATAGAGAGATTGATAGATAGATGTCATATTATATTGATCAAATCAATTGACTTCTTTATAAGTCAATAGTTCACAAAAGATGTTCATTGTTGTGTCTTCTAGTGATTCATCTATTATGACTTATAGAGAAGTTTTAAGATGACATCATGCATGCAGTACAACTGTAAATTCTGAAGTGATCAGTTTACATTGATAAGCTGCTGTGGTGATATCAGTAAGATAGACTGCTGTTGACTTATTGTTACAGATGTTCAGAACTGTGTAGTGAATGTTATTAAATTTTGCTTGTGCTTGGACTGATGAAATCTGAAAATGTTTTTCAAGAGCAAAGCATCAATTATGAATGTCAACTGAATCTTAGATGAGAGCTTTGTGTGCAAGATCATTTAGTTTAACTGTTCATTAAATCATAATATTTTCACAGAGACATGAGTGCAATTCAGCTTCTATCTGCAGTGAGTCTTTAATCACTGCTGCTGCTTTAATTCTAGTCATGAAAAGATAAACATCTTTAATTCAGATCTTTTCTTCTCAGTCTGCTATGTCTCTTTCTCAATGACATGGCATATCTGAATAGAAATAGTCAATATCAGTGATTTTCCAGTTTTGCTGGGATATGAAGTTGTTAGTGGTAGAATGTTGGACTGATAAAACTAAAATTGAAAGAGAAGTAGATGATTCTCTGTGTAAGACTGCTAATTCTGAGTGTATAATTGTGTGCATATTTGCTGTTACTGCATCTATAATATGTTGCATATTCATGTCATTTATATGAGCTGCACATTTCTCTAGAGCTTTAATTGATGGTTCTGAAGAATTGTCAGTGTTTGGAAAATTTTGATCATTAAAGATCATGATTGCAATTAATTGTTGATTTTCTGTAGTTGTTTGATCAAGAGATGAAAATTCATATGTTGTTGGAGTAGATAGTTTCTGCTGTATTTAATTGAGAGTTGTTGATGAAATGTTGTTTAAATTACTGCTTTTGAATGAAAAGTTCATGATCAAGTTAGTTGAGAGATTACTTAGAAACTTATTCAAAATGACTTACTTACTTAATAGTGATGCTCTATAAGAAGATAGCTTTGTAACTATCATGATGTTCTGAATGAATTTGCAGATTGCTGTTCTGATTATTAATCAGTCAAGATTTCAGTCTGCTGAATAAAAAATGTTGAAGAGCTCTGATTCTGATTAAGTCAGTCATAAACTGTTCAGTGAAAGCACTTTAGAATTCTTCTTTAATATACAAGATTGATAAATGTTGAAGACTTAACTTTGCAGTAATGATATTTTATTATTTTTGATGATGAATTCTGCTAGATGTCATGTGCTGAGTGAAATTACTTGAGAGCTAGAGTTACTTCAGCTATAATTAATTATGTATTTAGCTGTTTGCAATACAGAATTTGAAAGAGACTCAATAATTGATCTGGTTTCATTTGCTGATTCCATTATTTCTTGTTAAATATGCTTAGAGTTTGTGAGTATTTCAGTAAGATTTTTTAGAATTTTGGGCTGTCCTCAGAGTCCCTGATCAAGCAAGACATGCTATCAGTTTGTTACCTGGCCTAGCTGAGCTATGGAATGTCTGTGCAATTTTGGTTGTGTAGTAGAAGATGATTCTCCTATTTCCTTTCAGCTTTGTGTGTAAGCTCAAAGGGCTGACTAAGTAGCTAACTATTCTGGTATTATGTACAGTAATGATTCCATGTCAAGATTGAACCAGATGTAGTAGATATTGTAGATTTGAAGTAATAAAGAGAGCTCAGAGTAATTCATATTGTATTAAGTTCTTGAAATCAGACATTTAATGTTGAGATTACCAGCTCAAATTGCAAATTTCAAATTTGTATGGGAATTCTGGAGTTTCTCCTATCTTTGTGAAAATCAGCTCAGATGCTGTGCTGGTCAGGCTCTGGCAGAATTACCAGAATGGGTTAGTTCAAAACACTAAATTCGCGCTAAAGAACCTTAGCAGCACGCGTCTGAGGGGATGAGGTAACATCATACCAATTGCGCACTGGTAACATCTGTGTTTGGAACCAGTAATTACCAGTCAAGACGCCTGGTGACCACCCGCCTGGGCACCTGGGGACCTGCGAACGGTAACTAGCGCCGATGAATTAAAGTTCCGAGTACCGAGGTGCCCCCCGCCCAGTCAAATCGGGGCTACTTTGTAATTTGTACTCCATACTCAAAACACCTTACACTAAACGACTTATGATGGCCGCATAGGCATTCGGCGAACAGATATGATCTCTATACTTCTCCATTGCGGTGCCTGATACATCAAACTTAGCATGGATTTCTCGACTTTTCTCCAAAAATGGAGCAGTCTCCTCACGTTTCCCTGTGACCTAGTGGGACCAACCCTCGTGCCGGCATATCTGCTCCTTGTCTATCTGTTACGAAATAGGCGGTGGGCGAGTATCGAGAAAGAATTCAACTTTCCTACACGTGAAGCATTCGCAACAATGACAGATGATGAGGCGTGGAAAATTCAGCAGCAAATTGGGCAGTTGGAATTCCCATTTACTTTCTTAAAGGCGCTGCAATTTGCTCTATTCAGGGTATGTATCATGTAGGGTCGCCAACTAACGCCCCTATTGGTGCAACCCATGCTAAATGGGATGCGGATTTAGACCTACGGCATTCCCACGATATCAAGTCTTTTAACAAGAACATCTGAATTCTCCTGTCAACAGAGCGCAACAAAACGGTATGCAGACACCGCTGTTCTGATAGCAGAATTTATGGGCAACCCACCCTCTTCTCCACGAAGCCGAGATGGTATAGCTCGTATGAACTATATTCACTCCATGTATCGAAAATCCGGGAAGATTCTTGACGACGACATGATGTACACACTCAGTCTCTTTGCACTTGAACCGATCCGGTGGATTGATCGATACGAATGGCGGTCTTTAACCGACTTGGAGAAATGCGCCTTAGGGACATTTTGGAAATCAGTTGGCGACGCTATGGAGATCAACTACGGGAAATTACCCTCTTCTACTACAGGGTTTAAAGATGGGCTTCAGTGGCTAGAGGAAATCGAGGCGTGGAGCCAGGCGTATGAGATCAAATACATGGTACCTCATGTTGACAATAATCGGGTTGCAGAAGAGACCGTTGAGATTCTTTTGTGGACCGTGCCTCGTATCCTCCGGCCTCTAGGGCGAAGAATGGTATATTTCCTGATGGATGATCGTTTGCGCGCATCGATGATGTATGGTATACCTCGGAATATTGCTATCAATATTCTATCCCGATTCGCTAATAATCTTAATTCAAGGTATCATCGCCCTGGCTGGCTATACTGTTTCATTTTCTCGAAAATATTCACAGTGCGAAAATTCTTTCTTCGATATCTATCCCTCCCCCGCCCAGAATATTTCAAGGTGCGACGAATTACCACCGATCCAGCTGAGCCACCTCCTCACTTCCTTCTCAGTTGGGAGGGCGCCCCATACTATGTGCGACCGACATTGTGGAACCGCTGGGGGCCTTCCGCTTGGCTCGCAAGGCTACTTAAGCTTCCTCTCCCAGGAGATGGCGGCGACACCTATTATCCAAATGGATATGATACACCTACAGTAGGCCCACGCGCTTTCGCAGGGAAGGGACGAGAGTATCATGAGCAGACAACAGAGCGACTATTGAAAGACCGACGAGGCCAGTGTCCATTTGTTGTGTCCCGGTGAGCTTCATGCTTTGAGTGGGATTCATCGGCCGAGATTTAAATGACCGGAACAGCGATGACTATGTAGAAAGGTCCCAGGGCCGCTGGATGATCTAGAACCCGATATTCCTTCACCCTTAGTTAGTTAGATCATGCATGGGCCTTCTCACTGCGAAAGTCTCTGATCCTGGTTGCTTTGCAACGCCGTTGTCGGTGTTCTTACGGGGTACCCTGTATTCCGTATCTCCAGCATATTATAGAAGTAAGTTAGTAACCATCGCTAGCGATGGCTGTCATGCACAGCCAATAGGCGACCGTGAAGAGATGTCATTTCCCCACTAGATTTTCCCATTCTCCACTTCAATGTCAGTGAGCTTGGCAGGGTAGCCGCAGACTTCCGCTAGTATCCGGGAGTACCCTCTTCAGGTATCTCCGCAGCCATTATTTACGGATGCAGGTACTTGTTCGGCGCCGACAACAGCGGTCTCCCAGTCCTCCATCGCCGCCCCTGCCATCCCAACTTCTATCCCCTCACTTCATAACCATAAATCAGAAGCGCGATGCTACTTCTTGGTGCAAAGAATCTTGCCCCTCTTGCTGTGTCGTCTCGAAGTCTTATCCAACCTCAGATAAGAAAACCCATAAGAATACGATATCCCGCCACTTGGACTCCATTTTATCATCGATCATTTTCTAGCACACCGCCCATCATGGCCAATCTTGCATCTTTCAGACCGCCAACCATCCAAAACGAGCCGAATGTAAGTTTTAGCTTTTGGGTGATAGCTTCTTGATTGGATAGAGACAGTATTCATGGAGAAACGACGTACTAAGCTTGTTCCTTACGGCTAGAAACACTATGCTAAAGGCTCCCCAGACCGGGAGAAGCTCCAAAATGCCCTACAAGCATTTAAAAACAAAGCCCCTTTACAGGTTCCTCTCATGATCGGTGGGAAAGCTGTAAGTGATATTTTTTCCAGTTGTACTTTCCAATGGATGGAGCTGAGAACGAATGCTATATAGATCAAAACAACATCCATCGAGACTCAGCACAGCCCCTCGGATCATACCCAGGTAGTGGCAAACTACCATAATGCCACCGAGGAAGACGTCAAAGCCGCAATTGACTCTGCTTTGGGAGCAAAAAAGGCCTGGGAGGGTCTTCCGTTTGCTGATCGCGCTGCCGTCTTTCTGAAGGCTGCAGATTTGGTTAGCGGCAAATACCGATATGAGATAATGGCAGCAACAATGGTTGGCCAGGGAAAAAATGCGTGGCAAGCCGAAATTGATGCCGCTGCGGAGCTTTGTGACTTCTTCAGGTTTGTCATTAATTCCCACCCTATCTACATCATATTTCATGATAAATATTCTAACTATTATGAAGATTCAATGTGCACTATGCGTCTGAACTTTACACTCAACAACCTGTTCACAATGCTGCTGGTGTTTGGAAGTAAGAATTCCCCCAAAATGACTACGGACTTTCATTAATCCTTAGTCAGTCGAGTAGAATACCGTCCACTGGAGGGATTTGTCTATGCTATCTCTCCGTTTAATTTCACCGCTATTGGTGGGAACTTACCCGCAGCCCCAGCTTTGATGGGGAACACTGTCGTCTGGAAACCGTCACCCTATGCTATCGCAGCCAATTACTTAACCTACTGCATCCTTGTCGAAGCTGGGCTCCCTCCAGGAGTGATTCAATTCGTTCCAGGCGACGCCGAAATGGTCACCCGAACCATTCTCGGTCATTCAGAATTTGCCGCGTTGCATTTCACAGGCAGCACCGCCGTTTTTCGATCGCTCTATGGTAAAATTGCTCAGGGTGTTGCAGAGGGGAAGTACAAGGGTTATCCCCGTATTGTTGGTGAGACTGGTGGCAAGAATTTTCATCTTATCCACCGCAGCGCCGATATCTCTAATGCAGTTGCAAACACTATTCGTGGTGCATTTGAGTTCCAAGGCCAGAAATGTAGCGCTTGCTCTCGCGCTTACGTCCCTGCTTCCATGTGGGACGAATTCCGCACTCGACTTGTTTCGGAGATGGAGAGGCTCAAGATTGGGGACCCGGAAGACTTCACTAACTTCTTCGGCCCAGTCATTCACGAACATTCTTTCGCCAAACTCTCAAAGGTCATCGAGGATGCGAAATCTGATAATTCCCTAACTCTAATTGCTGGTGGCAAGTACGACAAATCCAAAGGCTATTTTATCCACCCAACCATCTACTCAACGACAGATATCAACCACCACCTCCTCTCCACCGAGCTATTTGGCCCCATCCTTGCCATTGTCATCTATGATGATTCGGCGCCCAACTCTTTTCAGTCTATCTGCAAAACAATTGATAGCACTGGTGAATACGGCTTAACAGGTGCTGTCTTTGCTCAGGAGCGTGAAGCGATCTTCTATGCCGAAAATGCTATGCGCGCTACGGCTGGAAATTTCTATATAAACTGCAAATGTACTGGTGCTGTTGTGGGCCAACAGCCTTTTGGCGGTTCAAGAGCCTCTGGCACAAACGACAAAGCTGGCAGCCAAGCTCTTCTCAACAGATTTGTGAGTATGAGATCTATCAAAGAGGAATTTGTTGCCATTGATTATGTACTATATCCCAGCAATGACTAAATTTAGGGCAAAATTGTGGACAATTGGCTCTCTTAGGGCAAAATCTTCCTTTATTTTAAGCCCTTTCGGAAAAGTCAATAAAAGTACATACCTATTGACTTATGTTATAGCCAATATTAATTGATGCTCAAAGATGATTGTGATTCAAGTTAAGTGAATGGGAATGAACATATATATATGATGACCATGAAGAATTTGTATTATCAAATATCATTCCATGTTTAGTATTAAAAGAGGGAGGTATTTATCGCTCACACAAACAAGTCGATGCTGACATTCAAATTGAAAAGTACACACCATGATATGTCAACAACCTGTTCACTCTTCTCCTTCCAAAACTTCTTCCTCCACACTAATCAAAACACAAAGAGAGAAAATTAGCCTTTGTCAATTTTCAGCTTTTAAGAGGCAGGGAAAACCTACTACTCCTCTTCACCCTCTGAAATTCCCGCATCTTGGTATTGCTGGTATTCGCTGACTAAATCGTTCATGTTGCTCTCAGCTTCAGTAAATTCCATCTCATCCATGCCTTCGCCAGTGTACCAATGCAAGAAAGCCTTGCGCCGGAACATGGCAGTAAATTGATCTCCTACACGCTTAAAAAGCTCTTGAATAGATGTAGAGTTTCCAATAAAGGTTGAGGACATCTTTAAGCCCCTTGGGGGAATGGAGCAAAGAGCGGTTTGGATGTTGTTGGGGATCCACTCGACAAAATAGGTGTGGTTCTTATTTTGTACATTGCGCATCTGGTCCTCAACTTCTTTCATCGAGACTTTGCCACGGCTAGGAAGCGTGTTAGAACTGTGGCACCTGGAACTCCGAAATAGTAAACTTACAAGATAGCAGAGCAAGTGAGATAGCGACCATTACGGAAGTCAGAAGCCGCCATCATATTCTTTGGATCATACATCTGCTGCGTCAACTCTGGAACAGTAATGGCGCGGAAAGAGTAAGCACCACGGCTGGTAAGCGGCGCAAAACCGACCATAAAGAAGTGTAGTCGAGGGAATGGGACCATATTAACAGCGAGTTTACGAAGATCAGAGTTTAGTTGGCCTGGGAAACGAAGACAGGTGGTGACACCAGACATAACAGCGGAGACCAAATGGTTAAGATCGCCGTATGAGGGGTTGGGAAGCTTGAGAGTTCTCATGCAGATATCATACAAAGCCTGTATTTTGTTAGTAGAAATTGATGCCTCAAGGCTTATAGCAACAACCGTACCTCATTGTCGATACAAAAGGTCTCATCAGAGTGCTCAACTAGCTGATGGACGGATAGCGTAGCATTGTATGGCTCTACAACGGTGTCGGAAACCTTTGGAGAGGGTACAACAGAGAAAGTAGCCATCATCCGATCTGGGAACTCCTCTCTGATCTTGGAGATTAGGAGGGTGCCCATACCAGCACCAGTACCACCACCAAGAGAGTGGGTGATCTGAAAGCCTTGGAGGCAGTCGCAGCCCTCAGCTTCACGGCGAACGACATCAATGACTTGGTCCACCAACTCAGCGCCCTCGGTGTAATGGCCTTTAGCCCAGTTGTTACCAGCACCGGATTGTCCAAATACAAAGTTATCAGGCCGGAAGAGCTGTCCGAATGGCCCTGAACGGACAGCATCCATTGTTCCGGGTTCAAGATCGACGAGAACAGCACGAGGTACATATTTCCCACCAGTAGCCTACATAGACTTAGCAATCAATTGAGAATGAAAGGCAATGTAGTATACCTCGTTGAAGTAAACGTTCATACGTTCGAGCTGGAGATCAGATGAGCCAGCATACCTTGGTCACGTTAGCAACATCAATATTTAATTTTGTGAGTCCGTAAGTACTCACATGCCGGAGCCATCGAGGCCATGTTCACCGGAGATAATTTGCCTTTGAATACATATGAGCCTTCAACTTCTATCATATTCATGACAATTGGGCTTACCAGAAAGCGGCACCGATTTGGTTACCCTGTGTTTCGGGTATCTTAGGTCAGACCTCATTCATTCACGGAAATCTAGCAAATCACAAGATATAAGAATTTGACTTACACACTGGCCAGTTTGAAGGTGGACCTAAAATACATGAACAGACGAGTCAGCAATTGTCCAGTTCCGAAATACTTCAGGGATCTTGTGGATTGAGGAGTCATGACTGGCGGGGTCTCGATGTTTTTTGTCCAAGAAAAACAAACGCGCTGTGGCACGAGAAAGAGGGCTTACAATTTCACGCATTTTGGAGAAATCTATAGTATAGTGATTGGTTTATGTTAAGAATCTGCGCAAGAGAAGCTGCTTAAAGCGAATGGTGTTGTTGGGGTGGAAGAGGATCGCGAGGCGGTGAGGTTGAAAAGGAGAGAAGCTAAGCCAAACTGAGTGAGTAACTAACGTAATTCATCACTGAACGACCGAACCCACAAAACAACCACTTTTTCTACTGTAGGCCCTCTACTTTCAAAATTCAATAAAATGATCAATAAAGCTGGTATTGAATAAGTGATTGAAGATCTGCACTTACAGAAAACTTCTAATTATGCCAAAACTGCTACAAAGTATAAAATTAATTTAACAATATTGACATATTATTTTAAAGACATATGGATCTCTACTACTCTAGAAATGAAGTTATATTTTTATATTTAAAAAATCTTACAGATATGCTGCTGCTGTCATTGATAGGCTGACTGTCAGAATTAGACTGACTGCAGGGACAGGAATTTCCCAACTGGAATCCTGTCATGCCCACTGTAGGCTAGGCCTGCGGCCTGCCCTAAGACCTAGTACTGTATTAGTTAGCATAGCCCTAACCTCACCAGTACTTAAAGCCACACTGGTTCACTTCCACAGAAGGTCAGCAATGAGTTCTTCTCTTACTATGCATATAGCAAGCTCCTGCAATACTACTTTGATACTATAAGTGCAACTTAATAATTTTTCCTACACTGTAGACTTGATACATTGTTCTTTAGCATCTATCTTATAAACTGTCACTCTACAGTTCTCATCACTTCAATGTGAAACACTCATTAAGTTACTTAGTTAGAAAATTTCTTTCTATCTTATCTCCTCAAATTTGACACATTTTATGCAGCAACAAATGCAATTCCACACTGTTAGATACTATGACTGAAATCAGAAGTGAAATTAGAAAGAGACAACAAAAAGATTCAGCTTGTCATTCACACACAGCACTTAATATGAAACACCATCAATTCTAAGTCAAATTCAATGAAAATATAGTCATTGGAAAGTTCTTGTTTCACTTGATTATTCTCTTCATTTTGATCTGGCAATTCACTGTGGTGGGTGGGAAATCTCACATCAAAGACTGGATTGTCAGTTTTGGCTACTCAGACATAGACTGACTGCAGGGACAGGGATTTCCCAACTGGGATTCTGTCTCTAATACACTAATAGGAAATTGGGATGGGACTGAGACTTGATGATTCAAACTGAGATGGAACTGGGACTTAATTTAAAGAGATTGAGATTATTTAATTAGGGATAGAGATCCCCAATTTTCCTAAACTTAAAATAAAATCTTATTTTATACTATTTTTAGTATCAAAATCATATACAAATGTATATATGCATTTTGACTTTATGTGCCAATTTTTCTATTTTGTTATAATTTGGTGTAAAAATACACTTTCAAAATAAAGTTTGAAAAAAAATTAAAGTTGTTTGAGAGATAGAAAAATCTAGAGATGGAACATAACATAGAAAATTTGAAACTGAGAAGAGAATGTGACTTTTATTCATATTTTGAAATGGAATTGAGACTAATTTTGAAATTTTGAGAAGGGATTGGAATCAACTCAATTGAGATTGACATTCAGTCTTGTCTCTTTGAAATTTCAAAGGGACTTCAACAGTCAGTCTACTCAGACATTTTGTCTGATCATCACAACACAATCACATCCACTACAGTTCTGAAACATTGAAAATTGATTGCATTTATGATAAAGAATCTATATTCAAGGGAAAAATACTTGTGTTCTCAAACTGATTAAGAATTCACTCAGTTTTGATGGCTCTTCATCAGTCTCTCACAGTGAAAAGTTTTTGTGTTTCTGACTTACTAAGTTTTAATCAGCAACATCAAAGCTGAATTGAAGTCTGAACTTACATAATTATTCCATCAAACTCTATTATATTTCATCAAAGTGGTACAACTGCAGAACACAGCCAAAAGTCCAGCAGAACATAGAAATTTAATCACAACTCAGTCAAAATAAAATCTTTTTAAATTCAGTTTGATATTTCTAATTCTCCAATCAATTCTCTATCTCTCTGATATTCAATCAATTTTCTCTGGCCCTGATATCCACCTCTTAAAAGTCAAAATCAATTGTCAGTTGAGATCAGCAAAATGTAAAACTCCATGCTGTGGTCTTCTTACATTCATTCCATCATCTAAAAGAGATTCATAAAATCTTCTTAATGCTTAGATGATCATGCTTCATGGCATCTGAAATTTGTAAACTTTATAACTAACCACATGATCTCACTAGCAAAGCTGAACACATAAAATCTGCCACAGACACTTCTTTATAAAGATCAGTGGCAATATATCTAGAGACTCTAGATACTGTTGTAGCAATATAAGTTATCTCTCTCTCTCTCATACTTAGATCTCTTTGTAACCATCTCTCACTCAACTTAATCTCATTTATGAAGACTGTAAGTCATTGTCATGTTATCTGCAACCATCTGATTCTCACAGTTTGCCACTCAAATAAGCAGATGGTCTGACAATGATTTTTACAAGATAGAACAACTGAGATCAAACTGAATTCTCAACTCTTTTCTTAGTATCAGAGTTAGCTGAGACACTGAGTGTGACAATAAATCTGAATGAAAGCACAACTCAGACTAAGAAATCATCTTCAGAGAACACAGAATTTCTTGAGAACTTAAGAGAGTGAATACATCTTATGAAAAGAATTCAAGAACTACAGCAAAGTTTATAAACTCTGAATAGAAAGCATAAGTGAACAGAATTACTTAATATTCTAATTCCTAATTTAAATTCTTCAAAGAAGAGTTCAGTCATCAAGTCTTCACAACATAAGATCAACTACTAAATCAAGACCTATGCAGTCTATCAGCAGTTTATCTTTTAAATAGAATTCATCTGAGATGCTAGTGGTCTGAATGACAATGAAACTCTGAAGTACACAGTTACAGAGTTGGACTATAATTAGAAAGATCTTTGAGAATCACACTCAGTTCAGAACTCTATTCTGAACATCTGAACTGAACTTAAACAATTTCTACTTTTATGACTAGATGATTCTGAAAATCAAATTCAATTGATCTGGAAAAATCTTTTCCATCTTCATAAAAGAGATAATGAATCAGACTTTGACTGATTGCAATGATTTCAACAACATTTGCAACAAGTGAGTGAAGAGACACAGAGTGTAGATAAGTTCATCAAACATTTTTGTCTATGACAATATGATAAATCTATACACAACAAGCTGAACAAACAGAAGAATCTCTTAGAGAAACTGAATGAGATTCAGACAGTTGTGATGTGATTACAATCTAGTGTCAAGAGTTTCACTTCCAACCCAAAGTCACAATTCATCTCAGAGACAAACATCAACTGTGGTGGAACATCATTCTATTCAAACTGAGTCTGTGGATCATGAGGTCAGAGTTATAGAAACAAGATCTGAATTTCATTATGACAGAGAGAAAATCAACATCAGAGAATCTTCAATTCTCAGTTTATGAACTCAAAGTGAGAAGAAAAATCAGATAAGAATGCTTGCTATAATTGTGATGAGACTGATCACTATGTGAATAAGTGCATTAAGTCAAAGAAGAAATAGAGGTTTGAGAAGCAGTCTGTAGATAGAATGAACATCAAGCAATTGAAATTGTCTAAACTACAAGCTGTTTTCTTAATCACATTGTTCATCAGAGTTTGTAACTCTGAAGTAGAAAAAGAAGTTAAGTGAACTGCTGTGGCAGACTCACTATGTTTCTTTCTGATCATAAGTCTGAAGCTTGCAGTAAGACTGGGTCTGAAGATTCATAAGATAAATGTTAAGATGAAGACTGCAGAAAAGAATCATTTCAAGCTAGTATTTGAAGAAATTATGAACATTTTCTTTGAGACACAAGATACTATGAATAATTGACAGATGTTTAATGAGCAAGCATTGATTGCTGATATATCTGAGAATATGATGTTAGATCTCTTTCAACTACACTATCATGATTCTATTGTTTCATTTGAAAATCTGTCACTTAAGTTTCATAAACAGAGTGGATTAGATTCTATGACAAAAATCAAGTCAGTTTCTCTAAATGAACTTGTCAATGGTGGTAAATTCTTCTATGTAATGAGAATTCATAAAAGTGAACAAGTTACCATCATGAATGTGAATCTGCAGATATCAAACAGTTACAAAGATTTAATTGATGCATTCAGTGATGCAAAAGATGCTTTCTTACTTTCTCATCAGAAGAATGATCTAGACATTGAGTTGTTGCTGAGAACAGTGTCAAAGTTTGGCTCCATTTATTGACTTTCAGAAACAGAGACAGAGACTTTACAAGAGTATGTCAACTTCATTTTGTCAAGTGAATTCATCAGACTCTTCAGATCATCAGCTGGATCATTCATTCTGTTTGCAAAGAAGAAGAATGGGAGGTTACAAATGTGTGTGAATTATCAGAACTTGAATTCAAAGATAGTAAAGAATCAATATTCACTTCCACTGATTGAAAACATTCTGAATTGAATTGAGAAAGCTAAGATGTATATTCAGCTGAATGTGAAGAATATGTATCATCATTTATGAATAAAAAACAGAGATGAATGGAAAACAGTCTTTCAGACTTCACTGAAAATGTTTGAATATCAGATGATTTCATTTGAACTTATGAATGCATCAGCAGCATTTCAGTCATACATCAACAAGACACTGAGAGAGTACTTAGATGTCTTTGTGGTGGTGTATCTGAATGATGTTGTGATGTATTCTGAGAATGAGAAAGAACACACTGAACATGTTTATAAAGTGCTCAAGACACTGAAAGAGACTGAACTCTATTGCAAAAGATTTAAATGCTGATTCAGTGTTACAGAGATAGACTTTCTAAGATATGTGATATTGCCAGAAGATGTTTCAATGAAAAAAGTCTGAATGAACACAATCATTTCTTGATCAGAGTTCAAGAATTGCTGAGATATTTAAGTCTTTTTAAGATTTGCT